GTTGAGCAGCGACTGGCCCAGAGCTCTGAAATCCGTATTGAAAATCAAGAATGGGAGCTCCACAGCACAGAGGAAGTAACCTACATGAATGTCACACCCGGTCTTCAGTCTAACAACTCAGCGAGCCGGAGATGGCTTCGTATGCGCCTCTGTCTATATCCTTCGCAGACCCTGAAGTAGGACCTCCCGAAGCTCTGCGTGAAACTGTAGTAGGTACGCCCAGAGGAAAACGAACTCAACCTCGTCTTCAGTAGGAAAGCTCAATTTCAGCCTGTCCATTCACAAAATGGGGAGAATCTCGTGCCAAACGTTCCGCGGCATATCAGCGACGAGAGATTCACTAATATTCTTACGGTGTATATTTCAATTTTATTGACTGCCTTCCCTCTTTCCATCTTTACTATTTCTAGCAAAGCAAAAGATACTATAGATCCAGATATCATTCAAATAGGTTACATGTATATTCGGTGACGCCGATTCTACACCTTCTGTACCGCTTAGGTTCACTCAGGCGCTCTGCATTTCATTTCCACTCAGCAAAAGATAGATACACAGGTTGCCGGCCTGGGAGCCGACACAGGTACCTGATTTGCGATACCCTCCTCTTCAGCATTGAAGCTCCATAAGGTGTCAAGATCTGGCAAGACATGACAACAGCGGAACTGGTTGATTTGCTGCAAATCCTGGGTGATCGATGACGGATTGTTCAGGATGTTGTCCAGGGGCGAGAGTACGTTCGGCCCGAACCCGGTGAATAAGTTGTTAGCAGCATCCTCCGCATCGGTACCGGGAATCACATCTGAAGCACACGCCAGGATTTGTAATTGATCAGGCTCGTCGTTGGCTGCTCTGAGGGCCACTATCAAGGGGGTTAGCTCCGAAGCCTAGAGAGGTTTGTAGGACTAGCCTAGCAGCTGTAACTCTAACTGGACACCTTGTAGGGAGGTCACGACGTCGAGGAAATTATTGACAGTTACGACGTCGTGGTTCCACTGATTAATTGCGCCTACGATTGCAGCTTTGCTCGGGACACCGCTGGGACAGCCGTTCGGAGAGTTGCGCTTCGCGAATCTTATAGAAGCAGCGGTAGAGGCGCCAATGAGGCTGGTAAGGAGAGATGAGACGGTGATAGACTTCATCATTAGTTGTAAATTTTATAGAGGATGCGCTCACGGCCTCTAAACTCGGTGTAACCTTTTGTTGTAGAAGTGATTATGGAAGCATTCCAGAAAGGCATCGCATATTTAACCATTCTTATACTGCTATAACAGCACCTTTTACCTGACCGAAATAGAATTTGATGGTCTGAATGTAGGTTGACATTTGAGGGGACCAAATATGGATCCTTGGGATCCAGAACAGATAGTTCAAGGAGCCAGAACGGTAAACCGAGCTAGCTAATTAGCGCTGTGATGGGTGTCTGGGACAGATCAACCATGCGTCACCAGCGTCTTGGCTGCATTCACGGCAGGTCAAGCGAGAGCGCGTAGCCTCCCCAGCAAGGCTGAAAGCTACATGTGACTTCTATAAAGGGAAGGAATACGGAGGGAGTATAAACGTGTATTTCCCGACTTGAAAGGGAATAGAGATACCGCAAAGTATATACTAGGCCATATAGAGCAGAAGCAGTTTAGTCATTAACGTATATAACTATAGTAAGTCTACTCTCTCGCTCTTTAGCAATTTGAATTCGGCAGACCGGGCCCTCAATTCAAAGCGTTGGCATGCTTATTTCCCTCTACCATCGGCTCTCTCATCCTGTTAAATATGGCCTGAGCTTTGCCTCGAAAATCCCGCCACGGTCCGGTGTCACCGACCATTTCCAACCGCGCTTTCGACAGTTCCATCTCCCCAATACGGTTTCCCACGTTGTTGAAGAAAACCTTTCCATGATCAGTTTCCTTCCAATTCCAGCCGGCTTTTACATTCCATGCCTGGTCGAAAATTTTTTCTTCTAGAGGTGTTCGCCGGGCAGGATTCCGTCGTGTCGTGAATTTCGACGGCCGTCGCTCATGATTTTGCCGGTGGCGCCATACTACCGAAATAAGTCGATTGATCCAGCAGACCCCCGGTTTCTTCTACATACCTCTCCGGATAACCCAAAACAGCCTCCCCAGGGGAAGTATATTGGCTATCTTCATGATCAAGAGGTTGGTCTTCTCTAAGCAGCCACCGTACTTACTTCAGAGGAGACTTTACGAGTGAATAATATATATGAGGTATTTTAGATTAAGGGGTCTTAATGTGGCTGCTTTATATTTGTTGAAATACTATAAGCCCCTTTTGTTCTGTTGTAATGTCCCAAAGCGGCTCCATCATGTACGCATTGATATGCAGTTCGAAAGTTCTCGAATCCCGAGATACTTGCCTTTTAGGTCCCATAAGTTCTATTTTTCCTCCTTCCTACAATATCTTCTTACGAATCTTGAATGCGGAGGCACCGACTCTCCTTCAGCTCAACCTCCACGTAAGAAATATATTCGTTTCGAGGATAACCCGACTATGATTGCTGTGATCATTGGCCGGTAATCAGCTGTCGCACTGAGGGTTTCAGTCAAAGGAGGATGTTGTGTTGAACGCATTACAAAAGGTGTCAAGACTTGTGCTATTAGTGACCTGGAAAGACTCATTTCCACATAGCATGAGTCAGATGGCTTGATATTTCGCCTGGCCGTCGCTTTCAGGGCCTACGTTAGTGGTTTCTACCACTACGACTACCTATGGATATGTTGTTTTTGGGAGCGTGAACGGCAAGCTATTTTCGAGCCACGATACTATTCGATGCACAATGGGCGTGATCCTGCCAAAATCGGCGGAAAAGAAGCAAAAGATATCGGCGAAAGAGCCTAAGAGCCGAGAGTAGAGATGATTGGCAGCATCTTCCAACGTAAGACCTTTCCCGCCCTCGCGGATACGGGGAAGGAGTAACTAGCTCGTCTCGTGGCACTGGGCTGTGGACTTTCTCTTTGAGACACGGTATGGAAGATTACCCTCCGCAAGGAGCGCTGGGATGTCCTGAAAAACCCGAGGATCTCTATGATGAAGGTGTATCTCGCCGCCGTAGTTTCGCCTATAGGTCGACCTTCGACTGTTATTAGCTGCAACGAGTGATCGAAGTACTGAATGTTTAGCTGTATGGCCGACAAAGACTAATAGACTAGGCTGTGTGAGATGTGGATTGGGGATCTCGTTGATGAGGGTTTGAAGCCGATCCGAAACCAGCAAGACGATTTCGTTTCGTTCAATACGAAGGGAAATCGCTGTGGCAGCATCGCGCCATTACGCACACTGGAAATCCGGACGCGAGATCCTCGACATTGTGAGTCGCGAGACAAATGCTTTTAAGATATCTTCAGTGAACTGACAGCCACGAGAAGAGTCCGATCAAGTCCTCGAAATGGCTGCCGAAGAAATGGGGAGGAGGCAAATAAAAGGTTCGAAAATGGCCCAAACAATTAGAGCCCGAATTTGGATCCAGGATGAAATCGGTTCTCAATATTGGCTCCTCGAACGGAGCGAGCGACTTTCCCACAGCGATTTGTTGAGATTCACACCGTCCTTATAACTCCACAGATAACCTCAGGAATCATAGTCGTTTTGTAAATTCAGAGGAATACCATGGGCAAGAATCAAATCATCAGGATGCCTTCCGACAATAAACCGAGGCACACGAATCGGCAGCCTGTCGAGCTTGAAAATCCGACGCCAATGGCTAGTGAGAGGAGAAATTGCCCGCAATCACCGGTAACGTCCAACTTGTCCTGGGGATCCTATCACACTCTCTCAAGTCTGCTCTTGGAAGATTCTATATCAGGCTTGGAGTGTTATGTTCGAATTTTCGGTGGAGATACTGTAGCCTATGTGTATCCGCAAACCTATGAGTGGAGATAATGTGGACCATCGGCCGAATCGCACCACTGAGTGCAGGTCTTTAAACGCTCATGCACACTTAACAGGTCGGGAGCTTGACCCTTGATGGCTTCAGCTGATTCGTAGATGAAGAATTCTCTAGCGCAGGGCGCAGCTCGCTCTCATTGGCTATAAGTACGACCTATGGGTCCAGGTCGCAGAATGGCAGACAGCTTTGAAAGCGTCACGAGAAAATGAGGATGATTGGAGAAAGTGGGTCCAGGAACAAGGGTGATGACCTTCGACATCTATGGGACTAAATGAGATTGAATCCTCCCAGGAGCTCCAGATCCACGAGATTCAAGTGCCCAATATCAAGTGAATCTTTGGTATCAATCCAAGCAGGAGTTCCAAAGACAGGGGGATCCGGTAAGTTGAGGGCAACTCTCGTTTGACTCGCTTTTACCATACCCCTGTTCTGCCTATGGTGCTGCGCATGGTGGCCTTCCACACGGCCTTGCACGCGGTCATGGGCGCGTTCGGTCCGCCTCGCCTTTCCGATTGGAACCGGCCGTGCTTGAGCGTCTCCCCTCCCCCTGGTTCGCTCAAAATCCTCGAGCAGTAGGATCTCTGCTTGGGGATCGGTTGATTTCTGCATGAAAATTAGCACCTATGAGAAACGATTGGGCAGTTTAGTGCTTTACAAGATCTTCGATGCTGCGCGGCAAACGCCCTCCATTAGGGGTCTGAACAAATGTCACTTGCCCGCTGTCGGGATTGCGGAGGCAGACAGAGAATTCGAAACCGCAGATCTCCCAGAGCAGGATTGTTTTGTTGAGCCAGCCTCTCTTTCTCTTTCGTCTTTGTGTTGTTCTTTCCTTCCTGGTTTGCTCTTCTTTTTGTTTGACCATTGTTCTCTAGCGTCTAGATCTTGACTAGTTCCGAACTCACTAAAAACATGGACGTTTTATATGTACAATACAAAGAGGAGCCCATTCTGGCTCCTCCTCTTCCTCAGGGTCGCCCTTTACAGCCTTCCCCATTAATAGGTGCTACTTTTTTAGGATCCTATTCTGGTGCTTTCCCGATAAAATTCGCAGTGGACAAATGCTTGCCGCCGGTCGCCACTTCTGCGCAGAACAACTTCAACGATGTTATTGTGCACTGCCACACGGGCTTCTATCTTCGGCGCTCTTACCTTTCTTCTGACGAAGGCCTCCACGACCATATTTCAGAATGACTTCCCGACATTGGCCCCTGATGTGGGAAAGGGCTATATCTGGAGTAACACTTTCAGCACTCCACCAGAGGAGACCGTCGAGGTTCAGTTTGATAGTCTAGTCGGCTCTGTTGTCATCACACTGACGTGCAATTCCGACTCTGCGATCGTCGATCTCACTGCCGCAAGCAATGTTACTCCGGCCGGAACTGTACCGTCCCCATCCCCCAATAACATCTCCACTACCGGGACGCCCTCAGCGAACACCACTCCTTTTAGGACTGACAGTCCGTTCGTGTCACTATCGTCGATATTTACGGTGGATAGCTCCTCTCTTGGTCCTAAGCAGAGCACAAGCCTGACTCTTCCTCCAGCCACCACCACATCAACCAGCGGTGGCGAATTCCCCAGCCTCTTCACCGGTATAGCAGAACGCTCAAGCGTGTCTTTCACAACGGTACTCATATGGATTCTCCTGGCTCTACTTCCAACCGCGGCTTTCTGAAGCGACTGGTTCTGATACCTCATAGCTGATCCTTCTCTACCAAAGGATTTTTAGATAGTTACGTAGCTCATCTCAAAAATACATATCTCAATTCCCAATGGAGGCGATCCCAGAAACTAGAACGCTCTAATTTACAAATTCCCTTGATGGGAGCTCTTGATATCCGTAGAGAAGGTAGTCCATTTCTAACTATCGACCATTCACCGAAACGTACGTCCTTAAACTTCGAAGCTCTTCGAGATTTTTTCTCCTTCGGCGTGTTTGATTCCCCTGATAGGTTCGGGGGATGGAGTCTCGGATCTCACATTGCGACGGCGGTTGATCATATCTTGAGGATTAATCTCGTGTATACGAGCCACGTCCACTTCAATTGCGCTGGCATGCATAGAGAGGCCCTCAGTTGAGTCACTCGATCGGCAATCCTTCTCGGAATCTTGATTTCGACAAAGCCATCGAGGCCACTTGATGAAGACACCACAACCACACGACATCGTTCTTCATATGACAATACTTTAGAATCTATTAGCTTCGGGAAGGCAAGTCACACCCTTCGTGCAATGGAAAAAGAGGGCCACTTCGATGGGCAGCTAAAGTGTTATAACCCCTAATATGATAACCGCCTTAAAATTACAGGATGAAAGAATTTGATGTGGTGATATTTAAGCAATTCGACCTCCGATATGGATAGGCGGTGAACCATCTGAGAGGAACCGAATCGGGCTCCAGAGGCCTCTTCGGGAATCGATGTAGTGATCTAAATTAGCCAGTAATGATAAAATGAGCATCTCACCCATCTTTTGGTGACCGGTCATCTCGCATTCCCACCCAAGTGCTTCTTACAAAGCCTTCCTAAAAAGTATCTATATCTTCTCCCAACGAACAGCATGGACGATTTCTCTTCGAGAGAAGAGCAGGATACGAGCAACCTTTCCAACTATGACGACGATCTATCTATGGAAGCTTTGCTACGAAGGGTAGACGATTATCAGAAGATGGAAGAGCTAATGACGGTTGAGAGGCTAGAGAAAGAAATATCAGCCCTTCGATATCAGATCTCGTGCCAGCAGAGAAGCCTACACGCCATTTTAAATCTGCTAAAAGAAGCATTTGAGGCGGCTGTACTTATTAAGACGGCTCTTCAAGCATGTGAAGAGGAAGAAGAACTCGCTACTGCGGATTGGCTAGCTTTCTGGGGGATTCATATCGAGACGCCATCGGCTCTGGAGTATCGACCAATAGAATGGCCTCGAGATTGGATTTAACTTCCACTGAAGTAAGTCCACTAAATCGGCCGGCGAGCCTGTATCAGGGGGAGGTGGCACACCGAAATCCATGACTTTTTTGCCTCGATCATGGAGGGTTTTATGATCCAAGTGTAGATCCTTCTTCAAATTGCAGTTTTTGAATACTTTGCATTGGTAATTTCTAGCGTCACGGTACGCTAAGGATGGTTTGAGCAGGAAGGATTCTAAAGCAAACATTGCAGATTTCAATGATTTTATGCAAAATAATGAAAGCATTGAGGCTTAACGATATGTGAAAGATTTTGCGTAATTCCTTTCGCAAAAGCGCCCGTTGTTGCAGTTATGATGGCGATGACGAAAAGTGGAAAGGGGAAGGCTTATCTTCCGTTCTCAAGTGCCTTGCATTTCGAGCGGAGATCCCTCAGATGCGTCGTTACTCAAATTTCGATCACGAAGCTGGCTTTCCACCGTCCTCTTCAAAGCCAAAGACCATTGCCGATGATCTTCAAAATATTTCTTCACCATGTCCATAAAATTTTTCACACTGTTCCGTAGTCAGTCACCTAGGTTCAAGTTCATCAGAGAAAGACCATACCAGTCCTCGAGCTGATCGAATCGAGCTTGGAGAAAAGATACGCCCTGGTTGATCTCCTCTAGCTTGTCAGCTTCTGGGCACATGTGCGGACAGATGTTTGAATCATTCTCCTGTGGCGGAAACGTGGTGGCCGACTGTTGTGGTAGGTAGTTTGCTGCTTCTTGGACATATCCATTATGCATGGGCTGATGGCCAAAAAGAATCTGAAAGGCTTCGTCATACGAAATCCCGCCCGCGGGATTTTGGTTGTTTTGCGGAAAAGCCATTGATGAATATTACGCACACGTGAATCCACGCTGCCTTTGACTTTCCTGAAGTCAACTGCCAGGCGAAAGTCACACAGGACCAACACAAACAGGAAATATACTCTTGAGACATGCTTTAGGAGACCCGGGCTCTTGGTGAACGGAAGAGGTGGTCACCCCTTCGACATTGATTCGTTGAAGACCTAAGCGCCTGCACTGCTTAGGAGGCCGCATCTGACCTCATGGATGCAAGTCCGTACAGCCTCCATCATTCGTAATTCTGGATCCTGTAACAGGCGCCTGCCTGGACGTCAAGTTGCCAAGCGTCACTGCCGCGGCAAGGGTCTTCGGAGCCTATTCAGGTCCCTACGCCTAGTGGGGAATAGAGTTGGGGATCACTTCTGGCTGCACTGCCCCGCAGCAACATTAGCTGGCAGAGACCCAAAGTTGACCGCGAGACACAAACAATGCTGTCTACGCAGTCGCTGAGAGACTGCAAGAAATGGCCATGCTTCTATTTCAAGGGGTTAAAGATGTTTGTGGGCTCGCTCTGGACTAATTATAGGTCACGGTTGTTGATTCAGTGTGGACTTCCTTTCTTTTTAAAAGAAGGCAGCCAGCCAGCCAAAGTCCATTGAGTAGCACCCATTCAAAAATTTGACACAAAAATGAACTCTCGAACAAATGAAAGGTCCCCCATGGGCCAAGGTCCCTCTAGAGTACGTGCTGCCGAATATCTTCCTTCCAGACTCTTATCTATCGCGTAGGATCCTCCTGGCCTCGGCAGAACACGCGTGCCAACATTGGATATTCATGGCCTGAATGCCGTTTGGTCACGTTATCAATACGTGAACCAACAACTCGCCAGGCATCATAATCTGGTCCTCGGGCTCCAGCATGAGTGCTACGAAACCGGTGCCACCCTGTGGAACAACTTCCAAGCATTATGGTCCCAGAAGAACGCAGGAGACAAGTCTTTGTCGGACACCCGTGATGAACTCATTTCCAGGACCGAAGAGTTGCATGAGATGACTGTGAACAACATTGCTCTACACGAAGAGCTCAGAGTGGCCCATGAGCGGACCGAGGCAGCTTATTGTCGAGAGGAAGCGTCTGAAGACCGGTCCAGGAATCTTACGGAGCAGAACTCGTTTCTGCAAATCGGCCTGGTTCAGGCTCGTGAGCAGATCCGTGCCTTGGAAACCAATGCTTCCGTGTACGAACACACGGCTGCCCCTACCGATAACCCGCAGGACGCCATCGTCCATGAATTGAGCGAAAATGGAACACCCTCGCCGATGACCCTTCATGTTCCGGCCCGGGTTGAGGAAGTGGAAAGGCAGCATGGAGACGAGATAGGAAGTAACAATGATGGACTGGACAGCTCAGGAACACGTCTCTGGGAGGTAGGTCAGGAATCGAAAGAGTCTGAAACCACCGAACATCATCATCCCACCAATTTAACCGCCCCACCGGCCCCCCAAACGGAGCCAGCGACTTCACCCGGTAGCGGCGAAGCTACCAAAATCGAAGAGACCACCGGGCGGAGAGCTCGGAAGTACTCCAAGAGACCTCGGAAGGGAAAGAAGATTGTGCCTAAGAATCCAGAGTTGAGGGTAGAATGCCACTGAATTGCGAAAGGAGAGGGCGAAGGGCAGAGTTTGATGCTGTAGGTCGATCATGGGGTCCTAACTTATGCCACTCTTTTAGCTTATCCGCGTATTGTCTTGCGTTCTTTTGTCCGAGAGTCAATCTCGTTTGTGGAATATGTCACAGAAATAAGAGTCTTCCAACTGGGTCCTTGTGACGTCGCCTCAAGAGGAGACGTTTTCTTGTGAAAGCTACATTAGTCCTTCGTTGCTACCAACAGAGTCACAATTATCAATTGACCGTCCACTTTCATGTGCAGTGTGCAACAAACTATAAGAACAATCCCACCAACCTCCAAGTTTACATGATTACTTCCTCAGCTCGATGATCTCTGACGGGTCTGTTATGGTGCTCTAGGTATCTATGTAGAATAAGTTTCCTCTCTAGCATTTGGGATGTATACGCACAGTTCATCAACTAGACCGGACCTGGGTTTTCGTGACTTCAGTATTCTGACCAGTGCATAGGCCAAGTCTGCCGCTGATCCCGATCGCCATGTTCACCGTAGCGACGGTGCTTTCTGGAGTGAATAATGATGTAGCTAATCAACACAACAAACAGAACGCCTCCAGTAGAGCAAAGACAAAGTATGGCGAGAATTCCGGCTCCCATTTTATGATTGTGGAGGGTGAGAAAAACTTGAGTTGGGTTTGGAAGTAGGTCAGGCTCATAGCTTTTTTCTTGAGAGGCCTTGTCATCTTTAAAGATTAGAATCTACCTCGCGTTGGAAATGTGTGGGAGGGCGCAGCTGCTGGCGAAGTTCGGTCGATCCAATTCAAGACGTAAGCAACCACCAATGTCGATTGATAAACATGAAAACCTAATTCGGGAAGTGGGGCCGCAACCTTGCTAGGCGCCGTGTTCCTACGTTGAACCTTTTTAGCTTTGGCCCCATTCAAGCCACAGGCTTCCGCTCTATTTGGTGAAGACGCGCCGAGCGTCGAATGCGACCCTCTGTATCTCGAATCTACTCGTGAGTGTGTTAGAGCGAATGGAATTCATTCATTGTTATGAATGGCTATCTGAAAAGAGCGAATATGAACGAACGATAGAACATGAACTCCCCTTGAAGAAGGCTCTCGATAAAGTTTTTCCCGAATTTGCTGGCGCGGACCAACTTGAAGATGCTATATCCGTTTCTTCCCTCATGTCGAAGTAAGACACGGTGACCAAAACCCGCTTTCACGTAGCCGTATAGTTCCTTCTCGATGCCTTCGTGGAGGACGAAACTATCCTTTTCGTTGAAGGTGAGGGACTTCGGCATCGTCCTGGGCTGAGGGCCTGTGAAAGAGGTCGGAGCGATTGAAGCTGCTTGCTGTGGGGCTGGCATAGGTCGCGCGGATGGCTTTGGTGTGTTTAACAACCATTCACGAGGGTAGTCGTGCTGCTCATTGAACTCTCTCAGCCGATGATTGATATCTTCGATGGCCTCCCTCGCTTGTCGGTCATGTTTTCTCTTCAGTCGGTTGAGAAAAGGTTGCGCCTGCTTGAAGGCTTCAACATAGACATTGAAATCGACGACGTATTGGTTTGAACCAGGGAATCCCAGTGTCTCATTGTAGCCCCTGACGGCGTCGTTCGCTGCCTAAAGCTTTTGGATTGCTTCCGCGTTTTCGGGGTTATCCGCGAGCAAGTTCAGCCTCAATGAACACGCTTAGTACACCTGATTATGATTATCAGTCCGTGGCGGGACTCCGGACTGGCCACCATTCCCCGTTTGGTTACTGTCTCCCATTTCAGCGTCTCCACTAGAAACCTGGTTGCTCGTGACACCTGTTGAAAAGTCTTCTGCCCCATTCCAATCTCGCATCTGCGCGACGGTAGCTTCGTCGACACCCAGTTGCTTTGCCGCGTTATTGACTCCTATATTCAGGAGCATGCAATTATCAATCTCTGAGTGCAATGTCTGAGAAAATCAAGAGTAGGGGCTCCCACTTACTGTCGAAAGCCTCCCTAGCATTACTGGCCTTGTTATACTTTTCGTGCGTCAAGCACCCAAGCTGCTTGAAAGCCATCAACACGGCTTCCGCCTCTGCAGCCTTATTTAAGTACTCTGCTTGGAGGCCGAGGATCCCTCGGTAATCTGTATCTGTGCATTTCATCACTCTCTCCACGGCTTCCATTTGCTCCTGGGTCGCGCCGATTCCAGTGTTAGCCACCTCTCTGGTAGCTCCGGGTTCCTTTTCGAAATTCTCCTGGTTGGTTGTATTAGATGAGTGTCCTTCGTGGGCATGGCTGTGAGCTTCTGTCGGGCGCCTTGCGTTTTCTCCTTCTATCGGGGCACCCTCAGGCTCCGGGGCGCCCTCTGGCGTTGGCTGGCCATGGACTTGTCGCGTCAGGATATCCTTGTTAACGACAGTAGGATCGGAGGCTGACTCGCTCGTTGTCGCCATGCTTGAGTCTGGACTGAGACCACCGGCTGGGACTGTGCAGCGCAGATGTCTCCGATCACTTCGCCGTTCAGACGGTATGTGGAGGTTTTGCTAGTGGACGAACCTTTGAAAGCACCGAAGGCTCCCTCAGAGGGTAGACGTTTAAATAGGATGCAGTGGTGGACGTGTTGATGCTCTGCCCGTCTTCTGAGGGCCTAGAGCCCGAAAAGGATGTGAATTTTCCCTGATTTTCGATGCCTGATTCGGCCCTCCGCATATCAGAGACAATGGAGCCACAGTGCACCTGCAGGGATCTGTTTGAAGTCGCCTTCGGGACCCGATTGAATTCTCCCGGTGGTTTGGATGTCTCCCATCCAGCAGCAGTCCTGCAGCATCTCGAGCACAACCTGCGTCTGACATGGAGTTTACTCAGTTCCTCGGATGGATCGTCTTTGTGCATGCTACTTGCCGAGTTATCTGGTATCTTATCGACGTTACACTTGTTCCGTTTCGCCAAGGTCTATTCATCATCCTCCTAACCTTTGTTATGCATCGCTACGTGGGTCGACGTTTATGAAGAAAGGCTGGTTGTTGTTCCGAGGTCAGAGACCAATCAAATACATTCAAGTGATCAGCTGCTTTGACTACCTCGCCTGGAGCGCACATGAGATTTGCGACATTGCCCAGACAACACATCGCCACCTCATTCATTGACTGTCGAACATTCGGGTCACACACCCAACCTAGACGAACATTCAACAGTCCCCACCATCTATTTATCCCACCTCATCACGACCCTGACGCATGCCAATCTTGATGCTGGTCGTCTCAGCCGTTTGCTCAGATGTTTCCGCCTTGAAATCGTCTTCAATCTTCCTCTGCTCTCTTCTATACTCAAATACCGCATACTGGAGCATGTCTAAGCCATCTTTGACTGCTTCCTTGAAGACAAGGCTAGCGCTCACTTGTCTGTGACACTTGGCGAGTTCTGCTTGCAGGGCCGTTTTCTCCCGACTCAATTGCTCGATTCTCTCGGATGCCGTGGGAGGGACGGTACGTTTTGATGCTTGGAGCCTGCTTCTGGAAGCTTCGAGTGCCACCGACGAGCCTTGGCCGCGATCAATTAACTCGTCGATTGTACTCAGTGCAGGGGGCTGGTGCGACTGAGATAGACTGTGGGCTTTAGGTCGACGTGTCTTGTTCATGGTATCATACATTTGCCAGGATTTGACGCTCGAGAAGGGAATGATCACTTTCTGTGTTGTTCTATGCAAATATATTCCTCGAAAGTTGAAAATTCCAGAATCCAAGACTATTTTTGGATTTTTGGCCACTCTTAAAGGGGACCAGAAGAAGACCCCTGAAGCTCTGGCACGCACAAATTTCTTTTAGGAGAGGGGATATTTATCTGGCCGCTTTGAGAGGTCGTAGAACCGCTCACAGTGGAAGCTTTGGAATTGTGCCTGGTGAGTCTCCAGACCCACTAATGACTCAACTTTACTATGTATATTGCGACGACAGAAGGATCAGGCTTTGTGCTAGTCGAACAAATCTGCATTTATATTTACAAGGATGTCACGAGGACAAGGATCGTCGGAATTAGGAGAGGCGGGCAAAGGAAAGCCTAGGTGTCCGATTTAGCGTTCTCATGAAAATCCATCACAAACCTTGAACATTACAATTCTGGAAGTCTGCCTCGGCACTGCACCCTAACGAAATACTTTGACCGGGAACGACTTCACTGCCACCCTCCACGCACATCTCAAATCCACCTCGGCGCTTGTCAGATATTGAGCTACCTATTGATGTGCTAGGAACGTAGCCAATTACTTTTTGTATACACACCCTGGCGCAGGTGCCCTTATGAAGTAGACCTCTATTTGACAAATGAGGCTACAGGAACCAGTTGAGAAGGAGGATCCACTGCAAAATAGACGCCGAACCTCGCAGCTTCTTTACGCGCGCAGGTTATCACAAATGGCCATAGTTAGTTGCATGTATCCTCCACAAGTAACTAAAAATTGAATTTGTCAAAAGCATGTTGTCACGGTGTTCTTGGGACTTAATTTAGCCACAAATTGGTGAGAAAATGATAAATAGAGACTCTCATTCTGCTTGACCTCGCTGTGTAACTAAATGCAACGATTCCTGTCTGCCAAAGATTCGCAAAAATGACAAATATACAGCCTGCTCGAGTGAGCAATCCTCCTCTTCACTCTAACCCTGAAACTAACCAAGTCTGAAGCTCTACACCGAAGAATTAGAGGGTCCTGTTCATTCTTCTGGACTAAAGTTCCTACAGTACGATTGGCGCGGGTATTCCGAGCGCCTTGAGCACGAAAACCAACGACTCCATCAATCACTCACTGTGCTCAGCAACGCGAGAGACCAGGAACATGAAATAGTCGGTCGATTAGAAGCGCAGAATGCCAAATTAGAGCATCGCGCTGGGGAAATGACCCAGTCTCTCAATACAATCAACACAGAGTATTCTCGATTGCGCACCGAATACCATCGCCTAACACAAGCCCTGGCTCAAAGTCAGAACCGTGAGAGTATTGCATGGTCATCTTACGAACAACTTCGCAACCTGTTCTCAGGCAAGGCGAAAGACGGAGGGACAGATGTTGATCTCAACAACGCAGAGTCACTCAGACTTTGTATTGTCAATCTGGTTGTCAAATCTCAATGGAAAGAGATGGATATAAGAGGCCTGCAAACAAAAGTCAATACTCAACAGGCCGAGATTCAGAGACTCATGATGGAAATTGGTCGTCTTGAGGCTATGTCATTGAGCCCGAGCTCGTCAGGTGAAAGCGATGCCGATACAATTGAAGAGGAAAAGGAGTCAGTCGATCATTCATGAATGTCTCACCCGTCCTTACCTCCAAAACGGTCACTCTGCTAGCTACAAGGAAGAGATTAGTGAAATACTATGACACCTATCCGTGCCCTGTACCTTGTCGTGTCCCTTCGATCTATGTACATTACTTCATAGTTCAGCCCCAGGGCCATATACTATCGCTCTGTTGGCCTTGACATACACTCTTAGCTGGACTTGTTCGTTACATTGGACTTTATCATTTTATGCTATATCGGCTTTGGTATTTCATTGAAGGCCTGAGGGGGGAAGAGTCTAGTAATATCAGAAGTCGAAAGCTTCAGAAAGTGGAGGATTTCTGCTTGGAAGAATCGAATAACAGCTTTAGCTTAATGGAAGAATGAAGCTGGTACAAAAGACATCGCCGGGAAACTTTCGTCGACGAGGATTGTGACAACGTTGAGTGCAACGCGATCGCAGATATGCCCAAGGCGCTACAGGATGAATTTTACCTGATCTTTGAACAATAACAAAAGCTTTCAGGCCTCAATTTGAGAGAGTTAAGTTGAGCACGGTCGAATCGATAGTCTTCGTGAGGAGTGGGAGCTGTCTCGTTGAAAAGCGGGTGCTGAAGCGGCGAGGAAGCTGGCGAATGGTCTAAAGCTGGGTGACTGTAACAACGACTGTCTAGCATGCCATAATTTTTAAAAGCTGGCCAAGAGAAGGAAGTGGACGCAATCAATCTGCTTGAATCTGGTGAGTGATGGATGCTGGGATGATTCGTCGAAGGCCAGACTCGCCTACGATCATTGCTGTTTTTGTAACTACCGGCGCTTACTGCATACCTCAGCAACCAACAGTGGATCGATTCCTTCCAGGGTTTAGATGCAACATTAGACTATAATCCCTGCTTAGAATCAGCACAACATAAGGTCAAAATTAACACTAATCATGCTATGAATAACGGGCTGCAGAAAGGTCTGTTTCAGAATTAACATGATATCCTGGTTGCCGCCGAAGGGGCCCGTTCTGGAGCCCACATCAACTTGGCCAAGTTGATAAAGGCAGTTTGACCACCATACGTTTTTGCGAGGGACCGAAGAGCAAATTCAATCTGTTTCTCTTTTGTACTCTTCCAACTACAAAGCAGACGCATTATCAGTAACACGAAGCTATGCGCAGTCCACTGACACCGGCTTTATCTCTTAGTCCCTCACACTCTACAGCTTCTAGCGGCCAGGAAATGATGGTCCTGAAGCTCCACTTCGGTCTCTGTTCTCCATTAGAACTGTCACTCAGCCTAGATGATGTGAGTCTGCCCGTCGTTGCGATGAGCACTAGTGCTAACCGATATTACCTCCTAGTTTGATGCCTGCCTTCGGCTTTGGGTGGAATCTAATCCCAAACAGCATAATGCGATATTGTCTGTGCTGGAGAGGATTCTCAGCCAGGATTGCAACACCAATGGCTGCTACTACAGACACCAAAGTTGCATCGCAGATGAGCATTTCAATACCAAGCATGGTCAACCTGATGATCAAGCTAACGATGAGCATCTGATCTCACCAACGAGCCGACTGTCTCTGGCACTGGAGAGTTCAGGGGTGGCTGAGTTGAAGGCAGGCGGAGTTTGCCAAGAAGACAACGAAACGAAAGGATGTGAAACACTATCGAGAGAGGTTCAGCCACCCGTTAGCCAAGAAAATGATCCCAGGCGTTTGAGTGGGGAGCTACCGACGGATACAATAGCTGCAAGGTCAGGTTCGAAACAGCTAAGAAAGCCGAAGTCTACCAAAGGCGTGAGTTTCCGTCCTGGAAAGCCGGAGTCGAAAGGAGAGGTGGCCGACGATGACCCTCTGACAGAACCTATGCTGCAAATCATCAACCGTATAGGAGGGATCCAGGTTCTAGAAGAACTAGAAGACATAACCAGCGAGTTGAGTGTTCAGTCTCAACCGAACGGACAAAATCTAAGCGACCGATGCAGACGAAATATTCCGAAAAACTTGGCCAGTCGGCCCGATTCCTTGCGGAAACTATGGCTCCTAAAGGAGGAGCTTAGCCTCAGCGAAGTGAACGGGCAGATTCACCGACTGCGGAAAAGATTGAATTTAGCAGAATTCTCTCATACTTATGAGGTGTGTGTGCAACAGCTCGAAGCGAAGAAACCTTCTATATCTCCGCGGTTGGGAAGTGAAGCTCGCAATTCGAGGCAAAATCGAACGGTTATGAATCATTTCGTCGATATTCTATTCCCTGACACGTTTCCAAGGGATAGAACTAGTGGGAAAGCATATAAAGGTCGTAGGATGACCAGATATGCGGCCACCAGGAAGATACAGAACTGGAGGACCACTGGAAAGCCGTGGGCAAGCATTATAGCGCGCTTTGGTAAAGGAATGTTGCTACTCATACCGAAGGAGTTGTCAGACGAATGGTAAGTTCACTCCGCTTTAGCTATTGACGCTACGGTGCTATTGCTTTTCAATGCTAAGCAAAATGAAACAGCTTACGAACTATGTCGAAAGCCACTCTGTCTGCTTTCCTTTACCATATCCAGCTGCGAACAGCCGGTTTAGCAGATCTGTTGCAGGCGGCGGCGTCTTTGGTGGATGACATCTGCTTCAGCGATGCGGAGACCCAGTATCCCGAATCAGGCCATCATTTGAACTCGTCTCTGGATGCAATTGAGTCGGCTATGTATAACGTTGAGTCGTCCTCGGAATTCGCTCTAGCTCCTCACGAAACCTTTTTGGAAGCTCCTTACACCTTCTTCCTGGCACATCTCACCGCAGGGACGAATTTGCCATTCAATCTATGTTCTCCGTTGACATACAGTCACGACGCCCACATGCAGTCTCCGGGCAGAGGGACGGACAGTTACGGCGCTGATATCGCCACGTTGTTCTCCGACACTCCTATGCCACAGTTCCCGATCCTAGATATGTCCGATTCTGACATATCAAATGATGACTCCGGACCGAATTTATACTGCGGAAATCGAGATAACGCCACAACGTATCCGGAAGCCGAAGTGACCAATTCTCCGATTGATGAGCGACATTTCACTGCGGACGATTGCGACTTTTTGCACCCTATCAGTGATATGGAGAAAGTAGAGCTCGATTGCTTATTTGGTCTACAGTCGAACGACGGCTCTCCCAGTGCTGCTCACCCTACGTTCCACACCTGACCTGGATGTCACGTGTATGCCACACGAGGAAGGGGGAATCTTTGCAACTCACAGGGGAAGCAAAGAATGTTGCAGTTTTTGACACTAAGGCCAAGTCATATATCAACATAGCAGCAATTTAGTAGATCATTCTTGATACCTTTACTGTCCCGTTGAGGTAAGAATTCTGAGAACAATATCACAATTCATTCACACTTTCGGTGGGAAGCCCTAATCCTCGCTGGCGAGGATGATTCTGGAAACGTGATTTGGTGTGGGGTGTCGACGGTAGACATCCGGAGACCAGTTAAATAGATGATGGACCATAAGCTTTCCAATATAGTGCCTGATGAATGCCTTCTCTCCCTCTCCATATAGTAGAGGCATATGAATACCGAATAAGCCCATTAAACAATACGCAAGATCCTCAACCCTCGTCGTCTTCCTCTTCGAAGCCCACGACATTCTTTGAGCCACACTGGCATTTTCAATGTCGCGGTCAAGGAGAATGTTAGCAGGGATACCAGTGACCTTCAATATCACCTGTTGGTGGCTTGATTTTGTACCAATTTCTTTCCATTTCTGATCCAGAAATATTACCATCGAAGGAGCGATAAGTTCTTGAAGGGTCCGGGCTCAGCAGAATAGCATGTAGCTTTATAACACTGTCGCTATCCCATTAGCAAGTTCGACCCGTTAAAAGGCTTGGCCTCCGGTCGGAAAAAGTTGCAAATGTCTCTTACCTCACGAGCCTATGCCTAGACTGTTGGACCTTGTGAACTACCTCGCTCAGCACTTCCTTCAACAATTGAGCTCTTGTCCTGCAGCTGACTATCCCCATCATGCGCGGCGAGCTCGGCTGACATCTTCAACTCCTCCGCGGTCAGTCTGTGGCGTGTGTCCAGCTCTTCTTCGCCTGCGTCCGAGTCATCGTCCTCGTCCTGTGCGGCTTGCACATCGCCGACGATCGACATATTTCCATCCCCGGTATGTCGCCCCAGGGACTGTCGAGTCTCGTTGTGGTCCGGGGACCGGAAAAAGGAATGGTCTTGAGCCAACTGTTTTCGGTCGCAGACGTAACCCATGGGCGTGTGGGCGAAATCTTGGCCTCGACCTCGGGTTCCGAGCCAGGAGTGAAGGAACGTAAGCATCCGCATTTCTCTCAGCCTGGCGGTGCGGACCGCCTTCGTGCAAGCTGGGTTATCTGGTTCGGTTGAATCCAGCATCTCCACCGTCTGATGGTCGTCATCTTGGGCGTCCGAACATTCGAGCGATGATGCATGCATGGTGGTAGCTGGATCGTCCTGAGAGGGGCTTGCATCATCGCTCGACAATCCTAGAAATGTACGGATGGGGGCAAGTTCCTCGAAAGGAAAGTAGAGCCTGCCGGCGAAAATACCGACCTGGATTTTTAACCACAGGGGTGCTGCCCAGCAGTGGGGGGACCGAGTAATAGTTCAGGTCGTTGAACTGTAGCATCTTCAGAGTGACGGGTGCCGCGTAGGTCAAAAGATGCACCACCTGCTGAGGTGCCGCTCGGCACAACGGAATGAGCTCTGCCGCCTCTTCAGGGCTGACCAGGACGGCATGGTGCGTGGTCACACTCCACAGGACCCATTGGACTGGACGCTGCTCGGAAGTTAGTAAGAAGACTTGTGTCTGAGGAGGCCACAGCACAGGACTCACCAGAAAGTCATCATTGATCTTGCCGGACGGTACCACGACGGCTTGTCGAAACTCCGCCGAAACGAGAAGTTGAGACTTGGGTAAATCTACCACGTGCTTCTGTCCGGTCCCAGTGCGCTTCATGTAGGAGAAGGCAAGCTCCCAGATCGCGTCGTCCGTTCTCAACGCGCCGTTCAGGACAAAATCTCGAAGCTCAGGGGCGATGCCTGGAAATGTCCGTGGGTGGAAAAAACACTGGTCTCTGTCGCTCGCGGATGGTCTCGGCCTCGACAGCCACCTCGCGCTCCTGCTCCACTTCCTGCAGCGCAGACGCGTGCACGGCGTTGCCCGTATCTCGGAACGCCTTTCTTCGTCTTTCCAGCTCCCGGACATGCCTTATCAAGTTACCGTGATACACAACAGCAGGAACGCGATCCTTCTGCTTAGGGGCTTTCCCGGTTCGTGGCCCGTAGAGGGACTTTAGTGACTGCTCTTCAGGGTCTTGGAGAGATTCTAGATAGGCCCGTCGTTGATCTGGATCGGTGATGAAGCGGGGATGGTCGTGAGCGGCTTGCGTGCGCCGGCAGTAATTTACCCCTTGAGCATAGCACAGCGGCTGGAGATTCTCCAGGCCCTGGCACGTCTGTTCGAGGAGCCAGCACACCACGTCGTGCGAGTCTAGGTGTCCGCCGTCAACCTTACCGCGAAAGTCAAGGATCGATTGGTGCACCTCAGGGGGCGCAAAAAAGGTGATGGACTGCGTCGTCGCTAGCTGCCTCAGTCGTATTACAGCCTGCACCGTGTGGTCTTTAGTCTGCCCGAGGCTGAGGGTGACGGCGCCCCGGGCACGAGTCGGGAATTTCATGTCGGTGCCACGAGTGTGCGACTCGTCTAAATACACTAGACACGCGCTCAGGTCCTCTGCGTATGAGGACGCGAGGAGTGGAGTCCTGCGTCCAGCGCGCGTCACGACCCAAGCCTTATTGTCCTTGTCGAAGGACACCGCGGCCTCCGCTCCGACGTCAATCTCGAGCCACATCCTGGCCAGCGTGGCGTTCGTCATCTCTAAAATCAATGCGCCGGCGTCGAGCAGGATCCGAATGCCCATGTGGTAGAGTTTATATAGGAGGTCAAATTCTGACAATCGCCGGTAGAATATCTTTCCGCCAGACACTTCTCGGAGACCGGCGAGAGAATAAGCCCGATTACGCGACTGCAGAAGATACGTCAGTACTTCAGCGTTCGTGTGCGCCAGACCCTCCATGTCGTCCTGCTTAATCGTGAGAGGCAGGAGGAGACGATTGTCGTTGGTGCCACTGAAACCTGTGGTCAGGCTGACTCTCCTACCCGCCAAGGGAAGATCCCATCCACTCGCCTGCAGCTTGACCTTGAACTGCTTGGCATGCTGGGGAAACACGAGGTGATTGAGGAAGTGGTCGATCGCGGTCATACTGTAACGCACCCCACACCATATTTCGCTCACTTGAGACGTATCCTCGATGTTGATCGACGTCCAATCGCGGTGGCTGTCGGACAGACCGGCTGATCCCTGCACCCATTGCTCGTACTCACGAGCCGGATCGTCCGACTGCGAGATTTGCTCCAGACTCTGCTGCAGCTGTTCCGGTGACAGTCCTTGATAGTAGAAGGACAGACACGTCAACAGCAGGGAGACATCGACGTGACCCCATTCGGCCAGGTTGGATGGAACGCCCTTGGAGAGGTACGGCACCGCCAAAGCTCGAGCCGGGTGAGGGTGTAGTCCGTACTGAACATTCCAACGGCGGCTCAATGTCAGAATAAGTAGCCGGTGGACCAGTAGACCACGGAGTAGGTAGATGACGTGTCCTTCTGAAGGGCTCGTTCGGTGTATTTCCGAGACGCTTTCCACGGACGCCCTCGGTGGATTGGCTTCAGTGATGAAGGATTGGAGTGCCATTCGGTCCTGCGGCAAGAAGTTCTCGACGTTCAGCAAGGTGGTCCGCCCGTCGCAGATGTCTGTCACGATGCGCTGTGTCAGAGCGTGCTGGACGTCGGTTCGGAGGAAGTGAATGAAAGGGAAGGCCCCGGGCTGGCGTTGGACGACTTGAATGCTGGACTCGAAGGATTGCTCGAGTGCGGATAAATGAGAATACACCAATTTGAGCACCATCTGTATAGTTCGCCACCGACAAGTTCCACCGTTGGCGGTCAGCTGTGGCCCTGACGGGTAGATGAGTTGTGTCTTGACCGCCATGGTGAAATCGCTTTCGTCGTACACGTCTCGGCTCTTGGTGGAGAGCCATCGCTGCACGTCGACCATTCTGATCCCTTCCTCGACCTTTCCGTCCAGGAGACGCTGCTGACCCGAGAGCATGAACGACATAATGTGTTCAGGGAGCGCTATGACCACCCCCGAGCCTTTGAGCATGGACGCATGAATCTCCTGGTAGGTCTCGATCTGCTCGCGGCTCGACGATATCCGGCGGGAGAAGGGCACATGGCACAATTCCCGACCCAGCAGGCCACCCAGTCTCGCCTGCAACAGTTGAGCAGTCGGCAGGAGCAACGCCTTGGGGACGACCACGCGACACAGAGATTTACCGTTTGCGAGGATAGACGCGACGAGAGGGATGATCGTCGAGGTTTTCCCTTCACCCATATTCAGCTGCAGTACAGAGTTAGACCCGGATGCGGGTGAGATGATCTGAAAGGCTACTTCGGCCTGGATCGGGCGAATCATGATGTCAGCATCGATCTCCAGCAGCAGCCAGTCGGCGTATTTTTCGACATCCCAGTTGGTGTGGCCAGAGTTCCTGACTTCCTCCTCGACCTGCTGAGTCCTGCCACGTCGGTTGGCGTCCTGTATTCGAAGTAGACGCTGAACTTGGCTGATCTCCAGGCCCAGAGCGATGATGGCCCTTCGCATGGAAGGAGTCATCGGCGTGGGATCGATGCTGCGTAGCGTCTCAAGGACGCATACACGACTGAGTGGGGGCCAGAGACCTGCCATTTCTAACCACATGGCCCCAGGCTCGTTCTTCTTCACAGCATCGACTAACTCGCGCATGCACGCATCAACAGCGGTCGTCGCACTGGCGATGAGCAAATCCAAGTGAGCCAGATCGACTACCGGTTGACGTGGCTTGACTCGGTCTCGGTAGGTCTCGAGGGCGACCATCGAGTGCCGGAGCCCACGAAAGTATTCCTGCCTCACAGTGGACCTCGAAATCGGTATTTCTGCCACGATCTGATTCAGCTCCTCGAGGTCTGGGTGTCGGCGTTGGGGACGCGCTGCCGCCTGACGAGATGACAAAGGGTCGCCGATGTTGACAGCCGACAGGTCAGCCAAGGGACCTTCTTTGTCGCGCAGACAAAGTTGTGACAGGGCCACGCTGCGTGGAGCAGGCACACTGCGGAACTCGGGTAGTATCTCTCGCGTCTTCGCAGGATGAGAAGCCGTGTATCGGTCGAGGACAGCCTGCACCTGCCACAGATGCTTTTCGAGCGTGTGGTGTTCGAATATGGTATGCCATTCGATCGCGATCGAGGACAGAGCAAGGTCGAGATCCAGTGTGGACGTCACTGTTTGTCTCAAGTCAGGTCGGGGACACGGCCACTGCTTGGACAAGGAGGTGACTAGGGCTTCCAGGTCATGGACCACCTGCAGCTCATAGGCTCTCTGAGCCGCAGCCAACGCTTTTCGTTCTCTTTGGTTCGAGCAGGATGAGCCTCCCACGGCCGTGAACGGCAAAGCACAACAGCTCAGCATGCGCTTGACGTACTCTGCGCGGGGACGGAAACCCGGGCGAAACTGTATGTACGATGGCGACGAGGGCAGGTCAATGCATTTGAGCTCTGGAAACAGGCAGAATGCCATCAAAGTGTGAATGGCGCGCATGTCGATTTCTTCGCGGAAACTGATCGTCGCCAAGAGAAATATGAGCTTGTACCTGGCCTCCAGCCCGTTCCGCCGACACATGTTGACCAATGGACCCCACGACGAGGCGAGGTTGAGATCGAGATGATCGCTTAGGCGTATCTTGTCGTACGTTACCGTCCCGTCACCGTAACCGGCGATCGACGGCCATTGCTGCATCATGAGGTGGAGGGGGCCGATGTAGGGAAGCTCTGCTGGCCACCTGTGAATGAGGTGGACCACCTCGAACACGTGGTCCTCGCTCTTCTTGTACTCATGGTAGCCACGACCACGGTAAAGTAGGTCCTCTGTGCTTTCGGTAGCTGTGGCGGTTGCGCTAGCGGTCCACTCGAGCGGCTGGTACACGAGCCGTCGCGCTTGGGCCCGTCGCACGAGATGAGCGTCTCTGACATTCGACGTGGCTATCTTCGACGGCAGAGGTCGGCCAGCGGCTTTGTCTTCCAATTCAAACAAGGCCAGCCGATCAGACTTTTGTTTGATAACGTTGACGAGGTGCAGATATCGCTCATCTTGGATGGACACCGTGCGTTCCGGGATCCACGTGACCGTTTCCATGACGCGGAGGTCTTCGGGATAAAATTGATGCTTCGGCGTTAGGTTCGCAATCGAATCGAGAATTGTCGTAATTGCTTCGCTGGCTGGAGCATACGGTTGACAGCCACCCGCCTGTAAGATGTGGCACGCCTCATCCGCCCCCGTCTTGCCCGTGAGTGGGTCAGAGAGGCAGAAGGAGGTACATGCATATAAAAGAGCCTTAGTGTAGTATAGTCGAGGCTCTGATGCGCAGGTCACCCGCCCCAGCACCTCGTCTAAGTAATAGCGGCCTAAAGCCGGGTCGTTCCTCTGTATCTCGACGTCGACGTGCATACCTCTCCGCCGGATAATTGGTGGGCCCAGGGGAACTAACACACTTCTTTGACGGGGATTTTGGACATCACGGAGGACCAGTTGAGAAGAGAGCCCGTACCAGACACCAGCATCTTGGTTCTCATCAATCTCCGCGTGCAGTTGTCGACACTCGAGCAAGCCCCGCTGGTTCAGGACGAAGGTTAACTCGTGACGGCGCAGCTCGACCGCTAAAGGATACTTCGACGGCTGAAAGACGGTGATGTGGCGGGGATCTTCGAACCCACGAAAGACGCTGGCGAAGTGGTGGAACAGATTGCTATGGGGGTCCAGCAGAAACGATTGTCGGCGTCGGGCGACTCTGGTAACCAGGTCGAGTGTCCAATTGCCCGGTCCAGTTCTCCATGGTTTCGCGAGTTTCCTCACCTCCACGACTCGGTCGTGCAGGTGAAGCCAGTGTACACAATCGTCCACCAATGATGCAGGTAAGTCAAACGTCCCGTCTCGTTCAAAAAGGTTCGCAGGGACATATTCCCACACACCGGTCGGGGCCCAAGCCCGCACGATCAGATCACCTCGGCGGTATCCAAGATGGATCTCATGGTTTTCGGGGCTGAAGGCGAGCTTGTAGGTCATGCCGAGGAGGGTGGAGGGATAGACTACTAATCGTTGATTGGGAAACAATCGGGTAATGGCGTCCTCGTGCCGCCATTGGGGCGGAAGCTCCTTCTCGACAGACCTGCCATTGAGCAATAACGCCCCTGTGACAAGGTGAAACTCGATGCTCAGGGCGGCGCAGTTTTGCATGCCCGGGAGATCAATCGTGGCCCACAGTCCCTCGTGTCGCCCCTCAAATGACACAGACGTCGGCTCTGTCGAAAGAGCTTCTCCAGAGACGGCGTTTGCCTCGACCATGGCCTCGATCAACGTGCGAGGACTCGCGTAGATGGACATTTGGACACGCTCCTGCAGGAGGGTTGCCATCTTCAGGTCACGAATCAGCATACTACGCAGTAGTGGAGGGAGCTTCTCCAGGCCCTCGGCCAGGTTCTCGTGCAAGGTGATAGAGGCTTCGAGGAAGGCGACCAACGCCGTGGCGACGATGGGCTTGTGGGGTATGTGTGTCAGTCCTCCTGCAATCGGGGTCGACGAACGACTTTCCGAGCAGTACATCGTGAAGGTGCGGCGGCACAACAACGCCGCCCACATCATACAGCGAGTCAATCGAGTGGAAGTGCTCGTGCTAGTCGTCCACCAGAGCTCTCGACGAATTGTTCTGATCCAATTGAGCGTGCAAAGGCGGACTTTCTCCAGGAGCGGCGTGGCCTTGACGCAGGCATCATCGCTTCCGAGGCTGATAACCTTCAAGGTCAGGCCAAGCATCACCTCCATAGAGTGGCTCTCACGCCAGTTCGAGGCGATGGCGGATACCCGACGGTCGATCTGGCTCAACAGCCTGACGCAGAAGGACTCATCTCGGAAAATGAGATTCGTCGCATGAAATTTGTCAACGTCAGGAGGGCCGGTCCGGTGAGACAGTGTCTGCAACAAAATCACGACGGCATCGGAACTGAAATTGAGGTTCGAAGACCCAAGTTCGACGAGGATGGCAGGCCACAGACGTCGTCTGTCGGCCAGCAGGCCCAGAAATGCCGTAAATTCAGGCTTGCCCAGGGCGGGAGGGCAGCCAGGGAGGGCAGCTAAGACCTCATTTGAAACCACCTCGGCTTTGGCGGTCAGGTATCGTCCCGTCGCAGGCTTCGATGGGTCCGAGAGGGAGCCGTGGTCAGTAGAAGTCTGCGGCTGGAAGGGTAGAAGTCGCTGAGGGAAGTCAATCTGGGCGAAAGGACTGCGTCGTGGCAGTGGCACCCAGCAATGGTGGTCGAACGTGATGTTGCGCAGGTGCTCGGCCGGCCATAGCTTTCGATCAGTATCGTAATACTCGAATCTAAGTCCATTGTCGACACAAACCTTCTCGAACGGAACCGGATAATGGACGTATCGGTAGTGAGTCTGCAAGAATGATTTCGTGCGCGACGCCAACGTTATTCCAATCTTGCAAGGCGTCGGTCCACGGCAGAATTGGGCATAGTACTTTTGGCACGTGATGAACGGTTCTTTTGCTGTCTGTTCGACGTTGGGCAGGCCTAGAGTCGCGGCCAGCGACCACGTAGCGTTTCGGTACGCGACGCAGAACTTCTGGCATTGTAGTTCGACGAGCACGGCTTTCGTCTCGACAATGCCCCTGGGCAAGGCCTTCTCGATCCTTTCGATTCTCAATGTCTCGACCTTCTTGGTCAAGCCGCATTTACGGCACTTGTCTGCGTCGTGCTCTGGGACCAGCAGGTCACCGACGAGTGTAAACTCGCAGGCGAGATCGGCCAACTCTGCGGTAAGTCGCTGGTGTTGGGCATCTCTCTCGGCCCATTCGTTTTCTTTGTCGAGCTGCCGTTTAGCCTCCCTTTCTTGAACGGTTGTGTACAGCCGGCGAACTGCAGAGTCGCTGAGACTACTATCGAAACAGCGCTCGGCAAAACACTGGGGCCTCGGGGGATCGTATATCGTCTGTTTGCTTTCGTCACGCCCAACGCCGGCATGTCGCCACGCGAGATAGGTTTGAATTTCGTGAAGGCGTTTCAGATCAGAGTAGGATAAGAGGAGCACGCAATCCAACATACGGGGGTGAAAGATTGGTCGGTAATTGGCGGATTCGGGCACAAGTCGACACAAGAGCTGATCCATCATGACCCATAGCCACATGGAGACCAGGATCATTCGACTTCGCTCCACCGTACCGACTTCGTAGCAACGACCACGCGTCAGGGACAGATATGACGCCATATCGTCCGCGAGCACCGCCACAGCATGGGCTCCGGCCGCCTCGTCGACGGTTGTCGCTTTGCTGTCAGCCTTAAGGTACTCGTCTTCGACCTGTGCCAAGTTGGAGTATTCACGAACGATTTGGCGCACGGCTCGATCCATGACATCCACATTGGTCGGCGCCTCTCCCGTTGGAGGCTCCTGTCTGACACGTTGGAGGTACGGCTCACTGTTGATCAAGGTGAGTCTGAGATGCTCCGGGCTCGCGAAGCGAGTCCTGAACGGGGTGATCCGACGCTGCATTTTGGCCTTGTAGCGATTCCATGCGTCCTGCAGATTCGCGCGGGCACGCCTCGTGGCTTGGCGGAGCATCGGCCGTACGCTGCGGAGGATCACGTCTAGCGCTGCAACTGAAGTGGCGTCGGTGCCGGCTGTCGAGATCTGGTCGGTTTCCATCTTGGCCATGCGCCGACAAATTTTGCGGAGCAGAAGACTGGAGAGATCTGCGGTCTGACAGTCTACCGCCTGCGCCAGCAGCCGAGATTGGAGCAGACACATAATTGCCTTGTACAGTGCCCGGCCTACTGTGGGATTGGCCGATTCCTCGAGATGACGCAGCATCCCCACCCTCAACAGCAGCCAAAATGGTGATCTCCTCCAGGGGACAAGAGCATCCTTGAATCGAACCTCATCCCTGATGCGTTTAGGAATCGGTCGCACCGTGACAGGCCGTCCCAATCCTTCCAGTATCGCAATAAGGAGCCCAGTGATCAAGGCTGGGTTGGCGGTGTCTCGCGGTTCGAACGCGCCTGATCTCGCCTTTCTCGTCACGGCACCAAATTTTTTAATGTTCTCCACACTGGCTCTTTTAAGAAATTCAGAGAGATGCTGTTGAAAGCTTTCATCCGCGAAGACGTCGGCGGGGATGGCTGCCGCTGAGGTGGGGAAATTCCACTGCAGTGCATTTGTGCATTGGAGGACTCTCTCTGCCTGAGCGGACAATTCCACCGCCTCGAACACGATGTGACCTACCCAATCGCTGACGAGTTTTCAGTGAGACATTCGCGTATAGGGATGAACGGCAGATCTCACCCGACACCATTGCGCACCAATAACCCGGCATTTTGTTCGTCGATGTGGATGAGGAGGATTTCGCCCGTCCGCAATCGGCGAAACGCACGTTGAAGCTGTAAGCTGTCAAGATGTGCTGCAGTGTGGATGAAAAAGCCGTAGTCGAGAGAATTCTCGAGAAGTCGCAGCTCTTCTTGAAAGTGGTCTCCGACGGCCGTTCGTAGCTCGATACAGGCATCCTGAGCACGGCGAAGAAGGTCGCCGTCAATCTCGGGAAGGTCCTTGTCGACGTGACCCGGTAGGTCAGGTGGGAGAACGATGTGGTTGGCCACTGAGCGAAGCAATCTGGCTTCGACGGTGGCCATGTCTGTGCGCAATCAGGAACCACGCGTCGGAAAAGAGGCGGCAGGAGACCTCAGCAAATCACATCAATGTCGACGAGGAGCCTCCATCAGTGATGGCAGTGATTGAGGTGCTCCTCGACCGTCATAGTGCAACATTAGAAGCGATTTGAGTCGCAATGTGCAATACTGCACAGCCTTGTTGTCCGGGTGCACTTTGTCCTTTTGGTGGGAAATGGCTTCCCGCGCCTTTGGCGGTGGTGTCTCGGAAAAAGTTGCGGTCTGATCCTTCTGACGTCCCATGATTGGTCCCTCTGGCGCCTTTGCTTGTCAGGAACAGGCTATGCTGCATCGAGGGGTCGATGCAAGTTCAACCGGGCTGCGTACGTGATGAAAATGTCTACAAGGGGGAGCATGAACGGGCTGACACCCCCCTTCCCCGGTCACACGATGTGCAGGAAGCGGAGTGCCAGCCCGGGCCCCTTGTATGTGGCGGCTCGGAACGTGTTGGTGGATTATTGGCCAGCACCACTAACCGGTGTGACAAGCAGCGCGAAGGCACCGAATCAAAGGTTGTGTGGACTACAAGTAGACTTTCGTTTCGTCTTTCTGAGGATAAGATGGTTGTTGCTTGTGCCATTCCTAGTCATGGCTTAGTCGAAGTCAAGAAATTCGGATCAAGTTGCAGGTGGCAGCGACTCTGAGTCACCATTTGGCCACCGGACAGTGCCCGGCATCTGTCTCAGGAGAAAGATATCGCCGTCGCTCAACGGTTGCCCCGTTCGAAACCGTTCCAGGGCGCCTGTCTCGACTGCTGCATGAAACCAAGGACGTTGCTCACCTTTTATCACGATATCCATTAGCAAAAGTCAACCGCTAGTCTTTAGTTTCCACTTACGGTCTCGTTGTATTGCGCGTTCGAATTCATCATCATCCTCTACTATACTTTCTAACGCTCGTCGCTGGTATGCACTTCTTATAATGTCTTTGATGATCCACGTCAATGTCAAAGGTACATCCACATATTCATGGCCCATCCCGAGCTCGCCTTCATACGGAACGACGAATAGATCTCCTCTCATGTAACTCATCAAGAGGATTAACATCGAGTTCTGTAGATGCCAAACGCTTCACTGGTGCTTTACGAGGCGCCACACCGATTTCCATATTGAAAGGTATATATTCTAGGAGTAAGCTACCTAACCTATTTAAGTCCCCATAAAGCTTCCCGCAACAGACGAAGTGCAGAAAGGAGAAGAATCCGTCGTCCATACATCTACCGTTAGAAATTATCACTCCAGACAGAAAATGTCGGCATCAGGCCTAGGAGCAACCACATCAGCAAAGCCGCTGGAGATACTCCCGATCGTCCTCCAACACCGGTGAAGAGGCTGATGTTGGCCGACGAGGCAGTGGCAGAAGGAAGATCAAGGCTTGTGCTCTGGGTCGAGCCAAGAGACCCGCCGTCTGTGGTAGACAGTGACGACGGCGACGTAAACGGTTCGCCAGAGGAAACCACGGTCGCATTCGTCGAAGGAGGGTTCGTGACAGAGACGCTGTCGGTGGAAAGGGGAGGAATGGTCGCTCCAGAAGTGACATTGGCTGCGAATGGATTTGGAGAGGTGCAGGAGGTCACAGAGGTGCTGGCGGCGGTTAGATTGACGGCTGTAAAGCCGTAATTGCTGGTTAAGTTTATGACGCCGGAGCCGACCAAGCCGTCGAACTGAATCTCAACGGTCGCCTCTGGTGGAGCGCTGGAAGTGTTCGTCCAGACAAAGTCCCTTGACATACTGGCCGTTGGAGTGATTGTCTCGATGTCAGTTCGAAAGGTATCCGCAGAGACCCTCCCCAAAGGGGAGGTAAGAGCAACGAAGATAGAAGCCTGGGTGGCAGTGCGCAGCAGCATCGTTAGGAGGTTCTTTGGGGAGAGTGAGCAACGGGAGGAGACATTACCTACCACGACCTTTATAGGGAAGAGTCCAGAATTGGATCCTCAAAAGGCAGCGTCTATGAACAGAATGGCCTCGAGGAGCCAGAATGGGCTCTCCATCTGATGCGATACTACGAAATATAAAACCACTATCGTTATGGAGGCTTCGCGGCTAGTCAAGTTGAACTCCCCAAAAAGATGGTAAAACAAAAGGAAGAGCAAACTAGAAAGGAGAGGACTACACAACGACGAAAGAGGAAGCGAGGCTGGCTTAACAAAACATTTCTCCTCTGGCAGATATGCGGATTCGAATTTACAGTGTGTCTCCGTAATCCCGAGAGCGGGCAGGTGACATTTTTTCAGACGCCCAATGGAGGATCGTTGCCATGTAGCATCGAAGATCTTGTAAGGAGCCCGTTGACCTGATCGACCATTGACTCCAGGCGCTAACTCTCGTCTAGAAGTCAACCGATCCGCAAGTAGAGATACTTTCTGCGAAGAATTTTGAGTACGTTGTGGGAAAGGGAAATGCTCGAGCAAAGCCAAGGCCAGGAGCGAGGTCGAGGCGTAGTCAACACGCGCAGGGCCACAACCAGAGCAAAGCTCCGGCAAAGGGGAGAGGGAAGAAAGTTTCCCTCCACAACACTTCGTTGCCGGACCCACCATCCTTTGGAGCTCCCAGTCCGAGGGACAAAAGAATCTAAACATAGTCCCATAGACGTCAAGGTTACTGGCGTTATTCCTGCCATTGTCCTGTCCCGCGTTCTGAGCCATCAGTGATTTGTCGCCCGGCGCATGGACCCGTAATCTATATTTGGTAGTGCTGATATTACACTGATAGCCAGCCTTGACGGCCACCTGCAATTTGGATACAGAACTGTCGTCTAGCAATCGCTCGGAGTCGAAATGGGCTGTCTCGCGATGTGGTTATGTGGGCCAGTCGTGGACTGTTTGGGAGGCGGGGGCTGGTTATGGATGGTGGCTAACAATGTCAGGCGATGATTTGATCGACACGACCCGGTCGACCCGGTTTGCAAGAAATGGTAAGAACGGCGAAGAGCCTCCATTCCGTTCGCTCTGGGCGACTAGGTCCAGTGAGTTGTGTTGTTGATTGCAACTTTCATGTGAAAAATCAACCACGGTTCACCGGACACAAAACACCAGTCAAAAGGGACCTGGTGGATGACTAAGCTTTGAGGGCAACGCCACCATACTTAATTCCCCACACACCCATCAACTCGTGGCCCCGACTACTTAGCCGGGGCTCAAAAGGGCCAGGAGGTAGTTGTGCGCACGAATACCCTAACGCATGCTCAGAGTTTTAGCTTGTGTTGGCTTGTTGCACTGCCATGGAACGCCGCTCATTGCTGCTATTCGATCTTGATTTCTATATACGTCGAAAGTGCACGTGAGCTGGAGCTCTAGACACGTAAAATCACGGCCTTGCATCGGACAATGGTCAGTCGAAAATGGCACGTGGTAAAGTCGGCCAACCTCGGTCGACGGCAAATAGTGCCCTACCGCAGTTTCTGAAAGTTATCACAGTCCAAGACACCTAGCCAGTATACTTTCTTCATGGTTGTCGCCGGCTGAACCTGAGGTGCTAGAACGTGCTCAATTTTTCATGCTTGGTGCAGTGGTGGTTAATTGACCTGTGGTGTGGGCAGCGTGACCTTAGCCAGAGGGACGAAATCGCAGAATGACCTAGCCGTCCCATTCATAGTTCCTATGAGGATGGTGTGACTAGAATTGTATGGTATAGATGTGAACAATATCTGAATCTCATCAAACATGACTCCGTTGCAAAACCTGCCATACGTTCCACCAACAAAACCGGCCGGCGGTTCCATTGCCAATTCCATCAGTGACCATCATCTTCAGATAGAAACATCACAACGGAAACATTCATTGACGCCTGGTATCCGTTGCAATGTGGGTACGGACGCGATGTTGACCCACTACAAAAGCTCCCAGCTTAGCGAGGTAGAAAAGTTGGTTTGGTCATACGATTGACCCATGGAACTTGCTGCGTATCTTCAAATAGGTTGGTGTTCTTTTGCACCCAGGACGACTTCTCATAACCACCATGAAGGAGCTCCTTTCGTCGGCCCTGCTCTGCCGCAGGGAGCTCGACCGTGAGAGGAGTTTCAGTGGAGTTGTCCGGGAAAGGGTTCTCGTAGATGTAACAGTGCACTTCCAGGACTATCACCGGTGGAGGCCTCTTCGCTAGAGACCAAGCTCGTTTCTGGGCGCTGCATCCAGGTCGTGAACAGACCCCCGGAGTCGGTTGTTCTCCCGGGGCGATGGGATGATCTCTCTGGTAAGCCGAAGACCGAAGCTTACGGCAAAGGGCACATCTATGCCTGACCGTGGGTAGCTCGGAGTAGCTCTTCAGATCGGGGGTAGATCTCGGATCTTCAAGTTCGACAGGTTGTCGATTCATATGACGTGGTTGGTTACTGGAATGCATCCTGCCGAGTATTTGTCTGTCTTGCCCTTCGAAATACCAAAAATGACCATAATCAACGCTCTGCACTTGTTCACCTGCGCAGTCGCCAAAAGAGCGTCGTCGATTCAAGTTGCAAATCAAGGAAAAATAGACGGGGGACGTCAGTCAACCTAGTTGTATTGTGAGGAGCCCAAAACATGCACCAGATTTATGCCAGTTCAAAATTGGATCCCGAAGGGCGGCGTTTGGAGCCTGTTTGAGTCTCTTCATCCTACTTATTTCCTTTTCCTCGCCCGCTATTCAAGGATCTGGATGGAGTTCTTCTCACAGGATGACGGTTTTCCGTGATGTCTCAAAAGCATTTTATCTTGTGCACCTCACAATCACGATACTGGGACTTACAGGAGCATTTTGGCTCTCATGATGGCACGCTGCCGTCACAGCGATTGGCTCAACCTCCGCATCGAACGAAACGAAGTCATCTTGTGCATCTCAGATCGGCTTCAAACGCTTATTGACGAAATTCCCAGCCCTGACCTTCAGCAACCCAGCTTGTTGGTTTTCATTGGTCATACCGCCAAATTGTCAGCCCTTCGTTTGCTCGGAGTAGACAAGAAGAGGCAGAAGTCGGCAGGCAGACGGAAACGCGGCGGCGGAGTGCATCTCCAACAAGGAAATCCCGATGTGTTCCATGACGTCCCCGTGCTTCTAGCAGATGGCGACCTTCCATACCGGGCCTTGAAAAAGATGTCCTCGGCCCAATGCCACGAGACGAGACAGTTGATGCTTCCTCGCATCCGGGGAGGCGTCCGAGATCTGGCTTTAGAAGATGCTGCTGATCATCTCTACTCCCGTCTCTTGGGCGCTTTTGCGGATGTCTTTTGCTTCTTTTCCACCGACGTCGGCGGGTTTGGTCCCGTGGTACGTCGACTCGCATCGTGGCTCGAGAATGGCAAGCCGACAACATTACCGAAGACAACATATCCACGGATGGTCGTGGTGATGGAAGCCACAGACCCTGGGGCCGAAAGCGACAAGGGGGCCGAGGAGGTCCTCCTGGGCGAGCTGAGAGAAGAGACAACCAAAAACCCCCTGGAGATGGTTTCGGCTCTCGAAGTGGTGACCGTTCCCCACGGGGGGCAGGACTACCGGCGACTGGAGGAATTCTTAGTCCGGGCGTTGAATCAAGGTCGAAGGCAGAAGATCGAAGCGAGGACGCTTTTCTCTGGGAGGCACTTGACCGCGTTCTTCAGATGTGCGACCGACCACTTTGGCAGAACCACTAGGGAGCCGTTCGATTTCGTGCAAGCGTCGCGTTTGCGAAATCCTGTCGCGTCGGACTTAGGCACGCATCTGTCCAACTTCCTAAAGCAGATCAAATCGCCTGAAGAGCTAATGGACTTCGCGGTGCCAATGATTGCATCGAGCCTTCTGCTGGATCACTATCCTCCCGGTATGCACGGTAAGTCGGAGCTCCTTTCACGAAGTGGCGGAACCAATCTGACGGCCCCGTGGCGTTCAACCCGGAAGATGTGTTTCAGACCCTGTATAAAGACGCCTGCTATCAAGCGGGTAGGAGCGGTGTGCTTGTGTATGACAGCTCGATAAAATTGCTTCTTCCGTCTGGCTTCGTCCAAGCCGTCTCAGAACAGCTGCGAAAATGTTTCGAGGACTTTGTCGCAGGCACGCCGTCCATGACGGTCCATCACAACAATCTGAAGAGTTTTAAGCTTCGCTGGAAGCGGGTAAGAAGCGACGACACCTGTCTCGTATGCTTGCGTCGCACGCCAGAGAACAACACCTTGCCCTGCGGCCACGCGGTCTGCGAGAACTGCCCCCGAGTCTTCGGACACGCGGATCAGAATGATCGCTGGGCGTTTGACATTCGGCGCTGTTTCCTCTGCGATATAGCGCTTCGAGAGGTGACGGTAAAGGTAAAGCCTGACACCGCGGGCGTCAACGTATTGACCATCGATGGGGGCGGCATTAAAGGAATCGTGCCGCTGCTGTTTTTGCAAATCTTGCAGGATAGGGTAGGCCTACCGATCCCAGTGCAGGATAATTTCGAGATTTCGTTCGGCACCAGTTCCGGTAGGTGGACACGATCCGCTGAAAAAGGCCTCGCTGACGCGGACTAGGCGGGCTGATCGTCCTCGCATTGTTTATTATGGGGTGGCCGGTGGAGGACTGTGCGAATATTTTCGAATCTTTTGCGAAAAGGGCATTCAGGCCGCGCTGGGTCTCCCACGTACCCGTCGTGTCCCGCATTCCGGTCCTGTCGCACATTCTTGAGTTTCTCGTGTCATATTTGGCCGACGGTCTATATCCAGCGGATAATTTGGAAGCTGCGTTAAAAGCAGTTTTCGGCGGCGACATGGGTATCCTGGACAACTCCTATGCAACTGCGATCGGCGCGAAAGTGGGAATCCCGGTGACCACAGTCCTGGAAACGGACCCGTGCCTCTTCACCAACTATAATGGGGCGGGAACGCGGCCGCAGGACTGCGGTACGTTGAGATTCGAACCGGCAATGTGAGAGCGACCTCTAACGGATGAACAGGATACCGCATTGTCCGGTCACAAGATGGGCGGAAAACGATTCGGTTGTGGGAGATGTGAGTGTCCATTTGCTATTTCCTTCCGTCACGGTTTGTCGGAGCATGAGAAGATGGCTGATATTGCAAACAAGAGCAATGAGCGGAGCTGCGGCACCGTGGTATGTTCACTTCCGCCTCTTTCGAGGTTCTGATCAGCTCACAGGCCACGAGGTACTTTCCAGCAAAGCGCATCCCTGGGGCAGGAACCTTTCAAGACGGAGCCCTGTGGAGGAACAATCCCGTCGACCTTGCCCTGTGGGAAATCCCGGTGGTGTGGCCACTGATCCGAAGGCCTAATGTGGTCGTCTCCCTCGGTACCGGGTCCCCGGGACCACGCGTACCTACGTCGCACTCCAGTAGACTACGTGCGATCTGGAGAGAGGGATTCCTGCCACGATCGTACAGAGCCTTCATGGAATTAATCAACGGGCAAAAAATTGCCCAGGCGTTCAAGAATGGAAGACGGGCAGAGTTGGACGGGCGCTATTTCCGGTTTGACGTCGAACTGGACAGGGAGGTCGACTTGGACGATACGAGCGGGATGCGCGGGCTGGCAACAAAGGCTCGGGAACAGTTCTGTCGGTCGGAGGATGTCGATATCGTCGCGCGTTGCCTCGTTGCGACGCGTTTCTACTTCGAACTCGAGTCAAAGCCGAAGAAGATCAAGGGGAAGTATTGTGGTTCGGGCCATATTTTCTGTTGTTTGCCTCGAAACAGTCCCGGACTGGAGATGCTGCTGGAACAGTTGTCTAGACGAGCGGCGAGATTTATCGTAAACGGCCACTGGATTCCCGGGTCGGTCGGTGATCGGTCGTTCATCGACCACCATGGAACCTTTCGCAAAAGGGTCGAATTTGAAACCAAGGACACATTATCTGTTCTGCTCCAAGAAGGGCCAGCTGATTCGCAGCACATCAGTGGATCTCCATATGCCGTCCCCGATCTTATGGATGTGCAAGGCCTCAACAACGATTTTGGTACTCCTGATCATAGGAAGCGAAAGGAGCGTGAGGAGACGGAAGACGAGGGAGAAAAGAGGAGAGAGGAGCCGGCCAAGAAGTGTCGTCGTGCTCGGTAAACGGCATCAGGGCTCTTGGAGGTATCGCGCTCGTGGAGGGACAGATCAGAGAAGGTTGTGAGCCGGTGCAATCTTCACAGGAACCCGGTACAGCATCTCCATTAATAGGATAAAGACGGTCACTGATTGGCGTGGGACGCGGCTGGAATCTGTTCCAGAAGGCCATATGGAGGATGATAAAGGGATGATGATATTGAGGCCGTCGAGGGATGAAAACAAGTCACTTCAGGCTCCAAGCTAGCCCGCGGCAACAGCTCCTGCCGAGCTAAGTCGTCACATGCGCACCAACGTTCCGGCCAATCAGCCGAGGTCCAAACCATCATCAGTTTCCTTTGGTATAGTTCAATCAAATCTTCTCATCCGAGTTAATTATTCTGCCACAACCTTCTTATTTACATCAGCTAGAGCTAGCTCTCAGATGAACCGCTACTCGTCTCATGACACTTGACCACGTTTAGCCGAGACTCCTTTAATTACAAATTTGGGTCTGATGTTGATTCGATATCGATCCTTGTTTGGTTCTCTTCCTCCGCCACATAGGGATAAGCCGTCCTATAATGGTTCCAAAGCTCCCCCGATCTCCGTTTCATCCCAAATGAAACAATGACATCTCGGGGGTGTAATTCATGGCGTCCCATGCCTGAGAGTTCTACCATCACCCATACATTTGGCCCAAAGCAGATAGAACGCCACTACTACTCACTAAGTTGCCGTCCCCCACGGCACACATAAACCAGGCATAGCCGGCCACGTTGTTGTTCCCGTCGAGCCACGGCAGGACTTCCCCCAAAAACTGCAACTGTTGGTCTATATCTCCATTACCGCGTAGCTCCGTAATCCAGAGAGTTTTGACGCCATTTTCTGCCGCCAATGCCGATGCGTTAGATACGAACGCTTGGAAATCTGACGTGTCGACTGCCGAGCCATACCAGTGGATGTTGACGACATCGACCAAGCATCTCCCTGCACAGGCGTCGAAGAATGAGGACAACCACTCAAGGCCGAGTGAGTCACCGAGTCCATTCGTCACCGACGGAGTGGCCAGCTCTGCTTGGTCGTGGAAGGGATTCATATACTGTATGAACCCGTCGGCGGCTTCAGAGAAAGTGAGGTTTGCTTGTGTTGCGATATCGGGTTCATTGAAAGAGAAGAGATGTTTGGATCCATAGCTGATGGCTGAGGAGGCCTGCGTAAACCACGAAGACGTCTCGTCTTCACCAAGGCCCCAGAGCGTCGGGATAAATTCAAGGTTAGAGGGAAGAGAGCCGTTGGCGAATGACGCCCAGTTGTAACTCCAGCTCACGGAGGACTGGTTTGCGAAGAGGTAGGTGAGTGACGCATCGTTATAGGCCAGACCTCTTTTACCCCGTATTGAATTTCCACTTGTCTCTGGCACCGGACTTGCGACAGAGCTCTCCGAAGGGGGGTCAGCGTCTTGAGAAACTGATACGCAGCTATTACTCGGGAAATTGGTATTTGTCGACAACGCAAGGGAGCTGGTTCGATGACGCAGAACGATGAGCAGGAAGCCCATGAGATACCTGAGGCAATACAGGACAGACATCTTGATCAAACCAGCAAGTATTCAACTACGAATTTTGACTCCTAGGTGTGAGGTCCAAGGTAAAATTTCGCCATGGAACGACAAAAGGGAACTGCATAGAGAACAAGTATATTCCCTATAACATCATCACCAAAGAGACTACCATGGGATTGGGAAGGGATTTGACAGAACCAAATGATACGTCGAAAAAAATCCAGTCGAGGAATTCAATACCTCCAAATGTAAGCTCCAGTTTTGGCTCCTCGAATCTCCCTTGGGACGCAAAAGAGGCCCTAATGGGCACCTCTCTTGCCGAGGAGAATGTCAGCAAATCTCGACTATGCTCCTCCTTAATACCGACGCGGTGAAGTCGCGAATTTCTCGGAATTGTTTGTTGCCTCTTCTCTGTATGTGTTGACTTAGAAGGGCATGAGCCCAATAATCGATTAATTTCCTCTCGGAGATACGCCACGATGTCGAAGTGGGAGCATCCTTTCTTTGGCTCTTCTTTTGTCGATGAGACATGTATGGCCTGACAATCAGGTTTTGTGGATGAACTAGTTGATTTTAATGGCGAGCATAGGTGCCCTTGGATGGCTTCTACCCTGTTTCCTCTATGGAAAGACTCAAGCACGCATTCGGGACCGCAGACTCTCAGACTTTACCTGGTTCAATCGCGAGGTGAGAATATCCACCTGTTTCGGAAGTATTTGACTAATATCTCCTTCTTCAGTGCTGTACCTGGGCCTTTCTCGCCTGGTGTGGCTGTTCATCTTGTCTCCAAAGCGCGAGTCGTCGTAATGTGAGAAAGAGATTCGGACTCTCAGGCAATATTTGCTTCGATTTTTGCGGTTCGCTCTGTTGTCCATGCTTCGCCTTAGTCCAGGAAGAAAGAGAAGTTGCAAAGAAAACACGCAAACACGATAGAGCGTATCAACGACCTGAAGGAATGATCTACACAAGAAAGGAACGTCTAAATCGGGGGCTGGAACCACAAGATACATTCCCTTGATGTTATTTCGCCTATTGTCTAACGTTCGGAGATGGAGGACCAAACAGATGCAGAGCCCGGACGAAAGGATTATATACTATCCTATAAGTTGCTCCCAGAAGATTTTTAAGCCGGTGATGGTCTAAGCAAAGTCTAGAACAGGAAGACCTTGGTGGAAACGTTAATCGATATCCCGGCGTGGTGAAATGCCCTTCGTGACGAAAGGAATTGCTGGTACTTCGAGTGCCAACTGACCCTACACACCATCCGCGGAGCATATACACAATCTAAAATGCTCCTCACATGCTGTATCCAATATTCTCTTGCATTTCTCACTCTTGATTATCAATACCACGATTCGGAATTTTCAAGCCCCAGTTTCCATAGCCATCTCCCATAAGGCAAAAGGCATTCGACTTCCTGGAGACGTTGATACCGGCCCTTACCCTCCCAACCGCCTGCGCCATCACAGTCCCGGTCTGGACCCATACAGAGCCGTGAAACCAGTCAGCCCCCTCCACGAGGAAGTTTGCCACGAGAGAGCCCGCCACCAGAAGTCTCTCACCCAGACAGTGTACCAGACGGTGCATTCACAGCGCTCCCTGCTCGGACAACATCAAGCGAATTCCTGCAGAAGCATCTACAATCAACACCATTGGATAAGGTCATCGTCTATCTGGACAGTGACCGGCATCTTACACAGTTTTCTAAGACTTCAGAGGGCAAAACAGCTTTCAATGAATGTATTCAGGGTTTGGCGAACCAGGATCACTGCTTCTACGTGTTGCAGGAAGGTGCCAAGGTCAAAACCGCTGGTCTCAGGAGACTGTGGGAAGCGGCACAGCCCTTCTCTATGGTTATAGCAGTATTGAAACGCAGACCGGAGCCGGGCGGTAGTTTTCCCTTTGCTGGCGGCGCCCTTGCTGGTCTCCTATCTATTTTGAAAACCTGATCATCCGATCAGAAATGGACGCGTCACTGCAGTTCATTGAGGCTAAAAACCGTTCTTTGTGAACCGCAAGTCACTCAGCTAGTGGATTCCCGCTTTTCTGAAAGCAAGGTCGACATCTATATTAGGCCCTTCATCGGCTTCCTTAGTGGGATATTCCTCGCGTTTCAAGCCATTCGCCATACTATTAGGGAACTCCAAACCCTATGGAAAAGGAAGGAACCAAAATATAGCCACCTCAATTAAAGTGACTAGATTCTATAATCACTATTACTATATTAAGACTAACCTAATGACTATAGAGGAAGCTAAGCGTAGACTACTTAGAACAGATGGGGATAGCATGCCCTTGACGATGCGTCGAGTTTCATCTACCTCCTGAATACCACTAGATAACGTGATTCCGGAAGCACAAAGTGACCAGTCTTCACAGTGAATCTCAACCTCGATGAGACTCTTGCTGCGACTGTCCCGGCGGCTCTTGTGGCTGCAGAATAAAACAACATTATGATGTTGTATTTCAGCACGCTGGAGGACTGTGACGTATCCACCGTAGCGCTCACCAACCGATATATCAGTATTGTAAAAACGCGAAATTAGGGTTGAAAAAAAAAACTCTCGAAACTCCGGAGTGGGAGTGGCCGTTGCTCGAAGTCGGTCCCAGTGCTCGGATATGACTTTGAGGATGCGATTGATGCTCGGGCAGACTGGACATTGTGGTCCTGGAAGAAGAGCGGTATAGCCGAGAACGCAAAGTACCCGGGCAGTCCTGATATCTCCTCGCAAAATCCCGGTATGTTATAACGGGTTTGCGAATGCTCTATTGCTGATAGGACACTCTCGCACGGTCGCTGATCCGAGGTGATAAAGGGGTAGCTATGGCGCTGACCCCAATATATCTCCGGTTCACACATCCAGACGCTGATGGTGAAACCATCAGCGAAATCAATTTCTTCCGGAATCTTATCCAGTTGGGGGATTGAAATATCCATTTGAAGTAGAGGCGGGTTGTCGGCTGGTTCAGAAAAGGTGGCGACAGTATCGTTTGGCTCCCCATCATGCGAAGATAAGATAGGCGCGTCTCCAATGTCAACCTGTAGCTCCTGGAACTCATGAGGCTTTACTGGCTCAGTAAAGATGTGGGAACTTGCAGGGGAGACTGATTCACTGGTCGCATCGGCCATTGTTTGTTACTTTGCCACGAGATCAGGAGTTTGGCGAATGAAACAGGGAGGTACAATTGGGACAATAGAAGGATTGAGAGAAGTGTTGGGAGGTAGGCATATCGCGTACTTTTCTACTTGAGGAAAATCTCGAGGTCTAATCGCCCCTTCCCCTTCTTCTTCCTTCCCGCTGTGTGGGTTTGGGACCGGGAGATCATCATCAGGAGACGGACGGGTCGGTCCCTGACTCTTAATCCACCTTCTGCTTGGTCCACTCGTACTTGTGCTGGATATATTGCTTTATCTGGCACCATCCGTAGTGGAGGAGAAAATAAATGACGACTACGTTTAGGG